AATAGGAATCATCACGTGTCGACTAATATACTCACATACTGATATATCACTGATATTAATAACCTTCTAATATACTATGCTTTGTATATCTTGCCATTCTTACTCATTGATTTATAATACTGTGCAGACAGAGTCATGTTTTTCATAAGATTAATCGATATTAAGAGAGAGAGAGAACTTATTTGCTCAATTATGTATTTACATGATTAAAAATTTTACATAGCTGATTGTGAGAAGCCGTTTTAAAAATCGATTTTGAAGTTAATTTTCTTCGTGTCAGGCAGGGCAAATATTGATATATAGATAAAGAAACGAATTCACTCGCACTCGTTGAATTCACTCACGTCTTTTGAAACGAATTTCGTGCTGCTTAACATCGTTCGACATCAAATAAAGATAAACCAGGCCGGTCGTCGAACTTGACATCGAACATGATTCATCCGTTTTATTAATCGTGACAAAGAAATGCGATGCTGCGTTCACGAGAGCGAGGCCCTATTTCTGTTCGCGATGTTTACGAGGCGCTCTTAATAAGACGCGGAATTTCATACGCCCGTCCATCATCGCCCCGATAAACGATTAAATCGCTAATGCTCGATGAGAATCTGAAGTATTCCCACTTCACGTTTGATCCGCTTACAATTCTTATCGCAGATTACTCCTCGTAATCGTGTAGATTTCTCATATCTATCTATATATAATTGTATATCGTAAATGATGTAGATCACAAGATTGCTTTTTCTTTTACAAGATCTTACTCGTCTTTGTTTCGTTCATTTTCTTCATGAGTAATTTTTCTCTCGCGAACATTTAAAATCGAACGCTTTATCTTGTCTTTTTTAAATAACAAATACGTTTACTCCACTTATTTTACGTTAAGGAGGAAGTAAAGAGTTATAGATTCTGAAAGTATTTGACTTCCTCCCGCCGATGATTAATCAGCTGTTATTTACGACGATCCTCGTTCTGCCATTCCGCGCGCTTTAAGTTAGCAGTCGCGTGCTTAATCTCGCACGATATGCTAATTTCGTTCTGGCTTTCATTCTCTGATGCTCACATCGCCATGAGCATGTGGTAACTCCAGGCGATTGCGATAATAATACGCACTGCGCAATCCTCGACGAGAAGGCGTAATCTACAATCTCATTTATGCCGCCTTTGTTTTTTCTTCCTTTTCGGCCGCGTATCTATTAGCGGGGGCATTTATCAAGTGTCTGGTGAAATTAAAGAATTAATCGCGTTACATGTTAACATGGAGGGAAAAAAAGGATGTGCGATGAGATTTTGAACTCTCAGCAGTAAAATTTATTTTGCGTGTGTATTTTTTTGTGTTAATACAAAACTTAAACGTTAAAAATTAAATGATTTTTCAAGCCGAAAGTCTATATCAGTCCTGATAATAACTAAGTAATTTAACGATAATCTATTTATATTTATAAATATAATAGTGGAATAATAATTTAATACTTGCCGTCGATCAATTTAACATAAATGAACTGAATATTTTGCGCAAATGTCGAATAATCGTTCGGCACGCAGTGGATTATTCATTGAAGAAACGTAGAGTGGAAATGAAACCAGCTCGTAAAGAAACGTAAAAGTCTCGTAAGCCGCTTTTATGTCTAGCGTGCCCTTCATATTTATTATTACCACGAAGAGAGAGAGAGAGAGAGCGAGAGAGAGAAAATATCTTTCTTGCTGCAAACCGTGGCGTCCTTGTTGCTTATATAGCTATATGATAACGTCTTGGTTGGAAAGAAGACGAACTCCCCTCTGTCGCGAAAATGATTAGATAAAAACGCGTCCTACGTCTCCTTGCCATCCTTGAAATTGTTTTCCGAAGGTGTACGCATTTCAAAAGATCACCTCGACGGCCTCGGCGCTACGATAACAACCATTGTTCTCGATGTTAATTCCCGGTACATTTGTCCACGGGAAAAAATATCCCGCCGCTCCGCGCGGGACATTTAATCGAAATTGTTCGGAATATAATACGGTCAAGGGTAAGTTCGCGGCTAATTGTGAGAATTGCGCGCGTAATGCTACACTAATTGCAAGCGCGTCGCTCTGCTGTGTATATAAATACACGCGGCATTCCCGTAGCGTCAGCCGCCTCGTCAGCGTGGCATTCGCGTTTCTCGTTGTCAATCATTCACGACAGCGGATGCGTCTCCACGAAAACTGCCTCGTTCTTTTTACACGGCATATATTATTATTCCTCCGTTGTCGTTTCCTCGCCGCCGCCGCCGCCGTCCTCTTCGTCGCGTGCGTTACCCGTGATCGCGAAAGCCGGTGCGCGTTACTAAAGCCCCAGATGTTCTCCATTCTCCGCGATGTGTCACGCTGTTAGTCAACACGCTCTCTCAATTAAATTTGAAGTTGTGGTCTCTTTTAATTACACGCGCACTTCCGCGTCGCTAATTGTCGCTATACTTATACCTTACATCAATTACGTTAATGGCCTCTTGGTCCTCGATCAAACTTCGGGCATCGATCTCGCGTTCCAGTATTTGACATTTCTAATAAAATCTTGATTGATTGAACATCGCGAAACCGGTCTTGTTATTTCAGTATAGCACTCTGACATTTTCACGAGCTCGTTATAGGATATCTCGTTACGTATCCCTTTTATACACATACTGCAGGAACCAATCGGTAATTGAAGTCCGGGATCCGAATTAATATTAAACCCTCGAAATTGGATGTTAACCCATCGCACTCTATTAACATTCAAATGAAAAATAATTTTGACAAAAATGCGATAAATAAGTAAGGCAGATGGGAATCGGCATGATTATTGGTACGCAATATTTAATTTACATAAAATTTACTTTATTCTAAAAATCAAACGTTTCGGCTATCTTTTTTAGCCATCTTCAATGGCAACTTACAATAGGTAGTTACATTTAACTCTCGCTTAATTATTGTACGTTGTCACTGAAGATGGCTAAAAAAAGATAGCCAAAACGTTTGACTTTAGAATAAAGTAAATTTTATGTAAAAATTAAATATTGAGTACCAATAACTACGCCGATTCCCATCTGCTTTACTTATATATACTTATTGTATTTTTGATTTGGGGAATTTTGTTAGGTTTTTATTATTTGTAATTTTGACAAATTTAAACCGACTGTGTATAACCGATTGTAAGATAAAGTAACTCTAGTAAAATTATATAAGTAAATTATGTATATATGTAAAGGAAGAAAAAGTTTAATAATTAAAGTACTGGGATTATCAAAAAAGAAAAGGTAAATTGATGTAAGAGAAACAAGATTGTTTCTTTCGTCTAAGGCTTAAGTTCTTTTTTCCTTTTTTTTACGAAGGGACGACATGACGGAATTATGGCGTCATTAATTTTGATCAAACTTGATTGATCGGTTGTTAGGGATGCTAAAGCTCTTAACAATTGACGTGTATCAAAGATGCGCAACTTAAAAATAAACGAGAAAATCGAAATTATAAATTTCACGTCATCTCCTCGTTAGATACAAATTTCAAGTTTAATATTCTTTATTCTTTCGTTTAATCACGCCCGTTTCCGCATCTTTGTTTCGCGTTCGGGCGCGGATACGCAGGTGACTGGCAGCTTTATAAGATGCGCCGCACTTTCTCTGAACGTGTTGAGGACGTCGAGCGTCATTTTTCATTTTTCTGCCGACTTCCGGCTCGTCTCGCACCTCCACGCGCGCCTCGTCATTATGGACTTGCGAATGCGCGGTCGTCGGATAAAAAAATAATAGGGAGTAATTAATGAAGTTAGCGCGTTAGTACCTCGTTGACGATGATGTATCCGCTTGATGCTACTCTTCCGTCACGCCCGTTACATCCGCCTGATCTGCATATCGACGCAACGCAACGCACGCGACATTGTATATACGCGACCGCTCGGATTATTCTAATTATATTCCATTATTCGTGATATCAATTTAATTAATTTTAATTTTATTACTATCAACAAAAAGGGAATGAAAGGAAGAGAAAGAGAGGAGAGGAGAGAAGAGTTTAATCATTTACATTTTGGACCACAAAAGCACTCGTTCTCTCTCTCTCTCTCTCTCTCTCTCTCTCTCTCTCTCTCTCTCTCTAAAAACGTGAAATACAATGATTTCAACCGAGTATTTCAATATTGAACTTTGTACTCGCCATATTTTGCGAGATATTTTTTCTTCCATATCGCTTACATTTACAACTTATTTACAACTACGCAGAGAGAATTTTATTTTAAAATTTACCCTGAAAATGTTAATCGTAGGACAACATTAATAAGTAATTTGACGAATTTTGTATGGTTTTCACTATTTTTTTAAATATATATTACAACAAATTTATTGTAGTGCACAATATAATTTATTGTAGTGTACAGTAAAATTTGTCAAAATATTATGTTGTCCCACGATTAAAACAAAATTTTCAGGGTAAATTTTAAAAGAATATTCTCTCCGTGTAGCTATTTTTAACTATTAATACAGGCGCATTAAACGCCCATGTACATTTTTACATCATTATAACATCTGCAAAGATTATGCTTTGCGTAATCTGTTATAATTGTCTGTTATAATCATTTCCTGTTTCATAAACGATACTACATAATAATATGAAAATCAAACATGTTTCTTATAAAGATGTAACTTCTTTTAGAGTGCATAATAACAAATTTTAATTTTTATATTACTGTATATAGTTATATTGTCATTTTTGTTAACACGTTTTCTTTAAATTTTTCATCATATAGTACCGTTAACGATGGTTACTTACTTCGGGACAGTGTTTTTTTTTATTCTTTACACGTACACTCTATCTATTCATTACTTTCCAGTATCGATAAGATGCTAATATTTATCGCATTGCGTCGATTTACGTTATCGAAACCATGTCGAAGTCCCGTCGTCCGTGTCTCGCCCAAGCGCCGCGCAAAATAGTTAAAAATCTAACGATGATCTAACCATGTCGAGATTATGACTCGTATATATAATCGTGCGATCTTGTTCTTCCGGCAGTTTATCGGACACGATTGGGAGCATCCACGATGGCTTCGGCAACTACACGGCGGACGTGAGGTGCTCCTGGCTGATCGAGAGCAACAGCTCGAACACGAAGATACGGATGCACGTGGAGCAATTCGCGACGGAATGCGGCTGGGACCATTTGTACATCTACGACGGTGATAGCGTCGAGGCGCCGCTGCTGGCCGTCTTCTCCGGCCTGATGCACAAGGACAACTATCACATACGCCGCGTGCCGGAAGTAATAGCGCGATCCGGTAGCGCGTTGCTGCACTTTTATTCCGACGTCGCGTACAACATGAGTGGCTTCAACATTACGTATAAAATCAACGCTTGCCCGAGCAGGTGAGCTGCGCGCCGCTGGTTGCGATCTCCTACCGATCCTCTACCTTCTTTTCAGTTCTCTCAATACTGCTTACTTTTTAACACGTGTGTGTATATACAGAGTGTTTCCGATCACCTGCAATCGGAACACACTACCAGATTAAGCGCTTTATCCCGAATTTATAGAGCCTAATAATTTGTTGATCTACAGCGTAGTTAATTAATAAACAATTTTTTAAAATTTTTTAAAATTAATTTTATAATAAATAACAATAATTTCTTATAATATTAGTAATACATAGAATACTTTGAAACACAGTGAATGACACAGATCAAAAATTTTTAACGATCTCAGATTAAGCATTTTATCCCGAATCTATCGAACTAAGCCTAAGATCGTTAAAAATTTTTGATCTGTGTCATTCATTGTGTTTCAAAGTATTCTATGTATTATAACTAATATTGTAAGAAATTATTGTTATAAAATTAGTTTTAACAAATTTTATTAATTTTATTAATTTTAAAAAATAGTTTATTAACTGCGCTGCAGATCAACAAATTATTAGGCTCTATAAATTCGGGATAGAACGCTTAATCTGGTAGTGTGTTCCGATTGCAGGTGATCGGAAACACTCTGTATATATTTGTGTTAATTGTATTCAAACTTTTTCTCTTGAATGTACAATACTTAATCAAAAAAACCGATTCAACGCGTTTGTTAAACGTTTTATATTAATTTTAAATCAGAGTGTTGAAGGCAACTAGATGACGCAGTTGATACATACATAATACATGTATATATGGTTGATATTTTTGTTAGTAAAATGATTCTCTCGCGTGATGAAGAAAAATATGAAGCGGGTCGTTTTACGGAGGTTTTGCCCACAAGATTATGGCGTAAGATAGACCGTAACACGTCGGTCGACTCCAATACGCGAGCGATCATTACGCAATGGCTTTTAGCGAGTAGAAGCGTAATCCGACACGCGTTTTATTCACGCGATTCGCTGCAGCGATATCTTATTATGGAGCCAAACACAAGTTATTTCGTGTCGCGCGCGTTGTTGAAAAAAGAAAGACGCTGCTCTGCAGGATATAGCTCGACGAGGTAGCGGTCAATCTATAGGAGGGCGCGGAATAGAAACGGAGAGATTACACCGGAGAGTGGCGATCGCCGATAACTCGCAATTGGGTCGCTGTCGGCTTAGGAAACTTTATCGAGCTTCCTCTGCGAGCCCGGAAATACGCGTAACCCTATCTGCATGACGTTTGATAACATTACCTACGGTTAGAAGACGACCTCCGGCAAGAAAAAAGACCCGCTTGAGTCTTTATCCGGCAAGAACGGGAATCATTTTTTAAATCCCAGCATGGGGCAACATCCCCATGCTGGGACTTGTTGGTTCAATTCTAGACACGACACGTGGGG